TTTTTACGTCCAGCCCCACCCCTGCAAATCTTCGTCTTAAAATCGATCATAAAGTCAGTTTTCATAATAGTTTTCGTAATCGTAATATATCGAATGAGTATCAGTTTACCTTGTTGAAGTTGTTGGAGTTGGTACTTCAAATACTTGATAACGTCTTCTTTCACTTTTCTGATGTTTTAGGCCAACTGTCAGTCAATATTCAAGAATGCTAAGTGCTCCTTCTGGAGTAGTGATAATGCGACTGGCTTGATATTTTTTGATTTCTTTGTTGTGAAGCATTATATTTGTTTACTCGACATTGTTGTGCTCAACAACAATGCCGTGTAAACAAATATTTGTTGACATTGTTGATGACGTCATTTTTTGACGACAAATTGGTTGACGACAACGAGGAATCACAAATTTGGTCAACTTTGTAAAACGCAACCAACCTTGTGTAAGAAACTAAACTAACCCCCCCGAATGGAAGTTAAAACAATTGATCAACCCCCTCCCCCGAAGAGGGGGTTACGTTTTAAAATCTTAAGTAACACGCTAAACTAACTCCCCTTCGGGGGGTTAGTTTAATGTCTCATTCAAGTGTTTTAACCCTTGAATGAGCAGTGTGACTTGGATGAATATTATTATTAGTATCAGATTACCTTGTTGGTGTTGGTAACGTCTTCTTTCACTTTTCTTCATTTCTTAAATAGTTTTATGTCGCTCTTCGGAGACGATGTGCTGCTTCTGAAGCAGTGATAATGCGACTGGCTTGGTACTAAGCGTTATTTGTTTACTCGGAATTGTTGTGGTGTACACGACATTGTTTGGGAACAACAATGCCGTGTATAAACAAATATAAGGTGGCATTGTTGATGACGTCATTTTTTGACGACGACGAAATCACAAATTTTTATAGTAGATACAGTTACTGTGCAACATACCTATAATGATATTTTTAAACATTTTAAATATTAAGATAGTGTTACACTCATAAAGTTTCTGTACTAATTACATATCGAGGAAGCATTTGTTAAATATATTTAAAGTTACACAAGTTAGAAAAAAATAAAATTGCAAGCCCTTTAAATACTGAATTTCTCACAGGCATTACTGTTAATTCTATGGCTTGGTGTTTACATAGCAAGGGCATCACACCAGAAGGGCATGTTAACAAAATTACTGATTCACGAGATATTAAATTCTTAAGCCTGTTTAGTTGTTTACGTGACTGGGATATTTGTGTCTCTGTAATATGTTGGTATCGTCTGTGGTGGTAATTGTGGGCAGTCACGTTGGTTAGCAGTGTAGGGATGCGTGTTGCGTAGCGTCTGGCGTTAAGTTGATTTTTTTGCTGTATGTTAGCTTTGACTGCGCCTTTTCGGTTGTAGATGTGTGTAACGTATTTTCATTATTTTATCGTGTAAAAAAACAATGATTTCAGGAAGAGCATTGCATTTTGTGTTTAAAGTATCGGATAGAACTTTGACTGCGAAGTTCTATCGGGAAATCTTAGGCATGAAGGTAACTCCCTATACCTGACAACTGTATAATTTCTGGTTGGAATTATTCGTTAGAATTAGAAGTTATTAACATTTTATGTTGACTGCTTTAATAATACGATTATCCTATAATGACAACATCTCAAAACTACCTATTACCAGTAACCAGATACTGCCATTTAAAATGAATTACATGACGTGCTCTACTGGGATACCAGTGTAGTTGTAGGTAGTAGTTTCCAAAACTATATGCCCTCCTTTTATATGTTTCTTGTTTAAGGTTCTGAGGCACGAGGAATTCAAAGAAGGGTGTGAAGCAGCATGCAATGGGTAACTATCACATACTTTCTAGAATTAAATTTTATCTGGGTGTATTTTTCCATCATGGTGACCAGTTGAATTATGCTTATCCCTGTTTGGTTTAGTATCTGTAAGTACACTTTCCAAATCTCAGTAACAAGTGTGTGTGTTCTTGGTATTTTAAAGTTGGTGCTCAAAATTAATTATTTTATCTGTTGGTCCACTGTTTTTTCACATGGGACACAAAGCTTGAAGGAGTTTGATAATATGTTCTTTCCATGAAAACCGATGTACCCATTGAACCATAAGTCTAAGATAGTGATGTAATTTTGCATACATTGTGGTCCTATTACTAAAAATATTTGTCTATTGTTTATTCCCATCAAGTGGTTTTTGGAATACAGAGAGTTTAAAATCATCCGTACTCTGGTAAAAGTGTGTCTGTGAGGTTCATCTAATTTCTTTCAAAATGCAATTAAGAGTTCAATATAAAGCCTATGAAATTTTCTTTTATCCATTTATAAACATTCCTTACAGCTTTTAAAGTAGAAAGTATAAGTGGTTGTATGTTATGAAATTAATTGCAAAAAAGTGTCGGGATTTATCTGAAACTTGTCAGAAGTGTCAGCCAAATGTTGCTCTCAAATTGTGGAGAAAAAAATTCTGTAACCACAGGAACTTTGAAAGCTGTAATGAATTTTGTAAATAAATTGCACATTCTTGTAGGTTTTACATTATGCAATATAAATACCAAATTACACTACATGTTGAGATGGTCAGGTGTACATTTTACTTTTAGGTGTTTTAGTTTTCCATTTAGTGCTGCAGATTGTTTGTAATCACTGTCTTAGAACATTACTGTTTGTTGTAGGTAGTTTCAGTTTGACTTCACGTATATTATAGCATACTTTTGTGCTTTGTATGTAGTTTTGAGTTTGTTATATTGAATAATATAGCTCATATGCCTTTTTATTTTTCAGTCCATATGACAATAGGTGGAGTAAGACCATGGTTGGATATGGCCCAGAAGACACACATTTTGTGATAGAACTGACATACAATTATGGTGTTACATCATATGAAAAGGGAAATGATTTCTTGGGATTGACAATACGATCTAAAGAAGCTATAGAGAAAGCTAAAGCACAAGGCTGGCCTTTAAAAGAAGAGAGTGGACTACATGTTTTAGAAGCACCTGGAGGCTACAGATTTTTACTTATCAATGAACCCCAACCAACAGGCAAAGGTATGATATAACTGTATGATTCTTTCCATTCTGTCATGTAGACTTTTGTAGGGTAGTTTTCACTGCTATTCTTTCTTCCTGCGTTCCAAGAAATACAGCTTCATACAAATATTGGTTGTTGGGCGGTGTTGATCCATGTCACTGTCATGTCTGCATGGTATGAATTCAGTGGGTCAGAGGTTATGAAATAAGATGTATAAACATTACCAGGTAGTTGTCATGTATATTCAAAAGCAGGGTATGTGAGACCCTTAGGTGATTCTGATCTACAAAACTCACATTTTGTAATTGTTTAAGTGTGTGTTATTACAATGAAATGTATGCTAACCTTCAGATCACTTTTAGAAATATTATGCCCTCTTTTAAGTTGCTGTAAATAAGTGCATAGATGTATAAGAGACAAGGAGTTTCAAGCAGAAGTCACAAAGCTTATTTCTTGTTGTAGACTTGGAGTCCTACATATCTTGTGTTGTTAATTATAACAGATTATAGTAGTAGCTGTAGTAGTATTGCAGGATATACAGTACCTAACATGATACTTGTGTTTCAGAAAAGTCTCATGTAAAGATGAAATTGTGTTAGTTGGACACCATGTTCACATAAGAAGTAATGTAAGAGGGGAGTTTCCCATTCCAAATAACAGTTAATTGTGTTTTGTATGTATGTGTTATACATGGAAATCGTGTAGAAAATAAGAACCAATGATCACAGTAAGAGAAAATGGTAGTACTGTGGCAAAGTAGAGGACAGCAGAGATGGAGTCATTGAGGAGGTGAGGTGACAGAGGAAATTGAGTTCATTTGACCTCAGGGTGATTGCCAATGGCAGAAAATGAGTCTCTCAGTTCTTGTGGTCAGATTAATAAAGCAGGATTGTGTTTCTTCCAGTTGACATATATTCCATAGAATGTCACATTCTGAAGAGTTACTGTTTGAATTTTATTTTGGTTATAAATATATGTTTGTTTGTGAGAGTATATGAGGGTCATAAAAATGTTAAGTATGAGATATGTTTTCTAACTGTAAAATGTTTGGTTAAAGATCCTGTGGAGAAGGTAACCCTAGCCAGCTCTAATTTGCAACGATCAATTGATTATTGGAATGAAATTCTTGGCTTGAAAATCTATAGTCAAAATAACAAGAAGGTTGTTCTTGGATTTTCTGACAGTCAGACAAAGGTGGAACTTGAAGACATTGGTAAGCCTATATTGTTATTTAGTTGGTGTTTTTCCTCCACACAAATTACAACTACAGGTAGCCCTCGATTTACGCCGGAGATGCGTTCCTGGACGAACCGGCGTAAACTAAATCGGCATAAATTGAAACTCTTTTATAATGTAAATCAATGGGAAGTCAATGACATGTGTTCCCAGCACCCAAACATTGACGAGTGATATAATGACGTTACATTTAAACCTCTGAAATAACGTAAATAAAATAAAGGGAATTTAAAAAATATATTTTATACACTTACAATCGGCAATTCATTGGTCCCCGCGATTGACTGCGATTCTTTCATGTGATTGATGTGTACAGTCATCTCTGCTGTTATGCGATAGTTGCATTCATGTAAGACACTGTCCTATAGGAAATCGCGTAGTAAAAATAACCCCGGTACCTCCGCTGAGATTAAATTAGTCCTTTGAAAGTTTGAAGTGTCAGGAATGAAATTGCACAAGAGCAAACTCGCATATGCAAAATTTTGCATTTCACAAACAGCTTTTACCGATTCATCGATCTCATTGGAGCAAATTCACGTTAACGAAACATACGTAATCGCAGAGATGACTGTATTTATAATTTTTATGCGAAATCAGCGATGTAAGAATTACGATTTAGTATAAGAATCAGCATGAGGTACATTGTAAAACGTTATAAATAATAGTAAAATTTTGTTTTTCACTTTTTGGCTTGCTGCTTTCAAAATCGGCGTTATTCTGAATCCGCGCAAATTGAGGGCTACCTGTACAGTAAACTCCTGATTATCTCTGTGTGGGTTATCTTACACAAATGCAGATGTTGACGAAGCGTTTGACATCTTTCTGTGCCTTACTGGCTTGCTTTGGAAGGCAGGATTTGGTTTGGTTAGGGTCTGCAGAAGATATGTTTGAACAGTGCCTCTTTGTTCTGTTATTTTATGGTCAGTGTTGGTAGTGGGGTGGGAAGGTTTGTTCCATTGGTTATGGTGGTGGAGAGAGGGGATGCTACTGATGCTTGGTACTGGAAAGGCTTACCAACAAGAGCCCTTCCATCTGGAAGACAGGTGTACTGTCAGGTGTAAATTATCTAAAGAATGCCTTGTTGTGGAAATGTACCTGGAAATTGTAAACTGAAACTTGTAGTGGTTGGAAAAGTCAAGAAACCATGATTGTTCAAGGGTACCAAAGAAAACTGCATTCCTTTTCATTATTAGAACCAGAAAGGAGGATGAATGTATAGGGAGATTTCTCAAAGTAAATATCAGTTAAAAAATGTAAAGTAATTTATGTTTTGTGAATGTACCAAACAAAATATTTTGTATTATCTCTGTTTTTCACTTATTCATGGGTCTTTCCTTCATTAGCCTATCTATTATGGAGTTTAAAGTCCTGGTTAATCTGTAATTAATGTCAAACAGCTATTCTTATTTGACAATGTGTATTTTTTGTGCGGGTATGAAACTTGGACTCTCACTTTAAGCGACGAGTACTGATTGAGGATGTTTGAGAACAGCTTGCTAAGAGAATATTTGGACTTAAGATGGATAAAGTGACAGAAGGCTGCAGAAAATTGCATAATGAGGAGTTCCATAATATGTGCTCTTCACCAAGTATTAAGATGACAGAGTCAAAGTGGATGAGGTATGTAGCACACATGAGTTATATAGGAAATGCATTAAACATTTTGTTTGGAAAGCTGGAAGGAAGGAAACCACTCAGAAAACCTAAACATAGATGGGAGGATAATATTATGATGGATCTTGGGGAGGTAGGGTGGGAGGGTATGGATTGGATTTATGTGGCTCAGGATAGGGACTGGTAGTTAGCTATTGTGAACATGGTATGAACCTTCGAGTTTCGTAAACACAGTATTTCCTGAAAGGCTGAGCAACTGTTAAGTTTTCAAGGAAGACTCTGTTCATAACGTTGGTTGTGCCTTAAAAAAGACCAGAATATGTGATATAAATGAATAAAAGAATGACTACACAAAGTAATGAATGATTTTAATGCATGGTTGCCTTCCATCACCAGTCATAAGTCCTTTTATTATGATATAAAAATGGGTATAAGAAGACTGGGATATCTAGTTTGATATAGAGGTTAGGACAGTTGCATTATTGCTGTAGGAAGAGAAGGGTGACAACATTGGCAACTAAAAGATTTTAGTTGTCACTTTTATTTAATTATTTCATATATTACTTTAAAATACATGTTTATAATATTGCATACCTTTTTGCCTGTATGGATGAAGAGATTGTGATATATTTTAGGTACTGCAGTGGAGCATGCTAAAGCATATGGACGCATTGCCTTTTCTTGTCCTTTTGAAGAACAGCCAAAAATAGATGAAAAGATTAGAGCCAAGAACCATGCAATATTAACACCTCTTATATCACTGGACACACCAGGAAAAGCTACAGTGCGAGTCATCATATTAGCTGATCCGGTAAGGGTGGACAGTATTTTAGGTCACTGTATGGTTGAGTGGGTCTTAACATATGAATTTGTGCAGCTAAGATATTACAAAGATGGTACAATGAATTGGTCATGTATGTTAACTTCAGTGAAAGCCTTGGGCAGTGCATAATACATGTACCTGTATCCATGGGTCCTCCTTGCCCCCAAATAACATATGAATTGTCTAATTTTTACAAACATCTCTAGGAAAGTCACCGACAGAGTTTTCCCTGGCATATTTTTTAAATACCTGATATTAGTACTTCTAGGGACCACAAACTTTATTGCTACTTAATGTGGGATACTGACATTTTGTATACGTAGCTCTTTGAAATGCATGCCTTTTATTATGTCATATTTGTCTAAAACATAAATTAAAAAAACATAGCTATGATTTGAAATAATTTAATTTTGATAAATTTGTTGTTTGGTGGATGATTAGAAATATCCATATATTGTATGAAACTTGTAATTCATTTGAGAAATATGTCTGTAACATTGAAGAGAATTTTGTGTGAATGTTTGCCAGAGGAACAGAAACTAGTCATTACTGGGTTTTGTCTTATCCTGTCACTACTATGACCTTGTTTGGTCTTACATAAGTTTTAAAGCAATGAGATGGGTCCCTCCCCCAACTTTGTTTGCTAGGCAGTAAGTGCCAAATGTAGTGCTACATTCCAACTCTGGACAAGTTTAATTTTCAAACATTGTAATTGATTGTTCCACCATGACTTGGTCATCAGAGCTTCATCAGTTTAAACGTTATACCACAAGAGTGATCAACATTGCAGTGAGGGAGGGAGTTTATTTTTTATAATTTCATTATACTGGTAGCAGGTTCCCCTTAAGTCTGGGCCCATAGAACTTGGTTATTTAGTAGGTAAGAAAAACGTTGCAAATTGTGTTTTTCTGAGTTTAAGTGTTGGCATTTTGTTGCCAATGATGAGCTCTTACAGTGCCACATTCTTTACATTATCAGTAACAGAATGTTATGGCCATGATGACATGACAGTGAAAGGGTGATATTTCTCCATATTATTGGGAAACAGTAATGAAGGGGAGAAAGGTATTACAGGAAACACAAATAGTGAATAAAACCATTGTGTTTTAATGTACTCACACAATACTAATCCAGATTAGCAGTTATTTTCAGTCCCCACTTAAGACAATTCTGTGATAAAATCAAAACAGTTGCATTACTGACACAGTAATAGTTATTGTACATGTAGATTTTAATATTGAACTGCACAGCATTAAAAGAATTATGATTGTGATTTCTTTGATAAGTCTTTTGTATATGTATGCTACAAGTACTATATATGAAATTTAATTTCCTTGTAGGATGGTCATGAGATTTGTTTTGTGGATGATGAGGGATTTCGTAAACTATCTGAATTTGACCCAGAAGGCGAGAAACTGCTGGATCGATACATTGCAAAGGATAAATCAAGAGAATGAATGACAGTTACAAAGAAGCAGAAGGGCATGGTTGACGAATATTCTTTGAAGGCAGAATTTGCATTTAAGAGAAAAAAGATACCAATCTGATCTGCATAACATGTATGTAAATCTTGGTTATATCACACTAAATGTACATTGTAACACTAACTTGCCCTGTTGAATATTTTTGTAGTTTTCTGAAGTTAGTATGGGCTAGATATTCCATATTTTTCCTTTTTATGCAGCTATACCCCATATAATGTCACTGTACATTGCCAGTATTTTGAATTTACACTGTTAAGCAAATAGAATGTATATTTGGACATTTTTATTCTTCTTTATCAAATCTGGTATTAGTTTGTTATAATCATCTTTCTCACTTGTATGTTGTATTTTGTTTTATTTTTTTCCTTCAGAGTATTTAACAGTACTCAAGGTAATTCTTTGATTCAAGTGTTTTATGTGTATTTTTTAATGTGTAATAAAATATATAAAACATAATATTTTAAAGCCTTTTTCAGTTTTATTTGTTGGCAGTAGAAAAACATCCCCATTTACTACATTGGGAAAAATTGCTTCACTGTACATCATTTTCCTATACATTCTGTTTTTTGGACATTGACTGGAATATAGCTGTATATATATATATCTGTTGCTTTCTCCAAGAGAGGTAAAAACATAGACCCCTGCAAATGCGGGACAAATTGGAATAAAAAAAATGTATCTGTTGCTTATAGATGATATTTATACATATTGGATGTAAAGTGTATATTTTATTACTGTATTTGATAGTCTGTATTATTTAGAACATGTATGCCTTACATATGAATGATATTAACGAAACCTGTATAGTTACTGGTTTGGAAAAGAAGTGACAAAGTGATAAATATTCCTTTTTCTCCTTATAGCATATTTAAATTTTATATGGGTTATTGGTCATAATTATTAAATATTAATATAATAATTTCCCAAAGTTTTGTTACAGTAGTTTGTTCCTGTCACACTTATGTTGGACACTGTCTTGTCTGAGGTACACAGAACAAAACACATGGTGATCGCAACACAACTCCAAGCCTGGTGTGGATTAAGGTGTTTGCCTGCTTTGCTAGTGTTTCATGATGCCTTTGGTTCACAAAATGTGGTGTAGTGAAAAAGGCTCAGTATAAAAATGCCACCAAATGTGTCAAAATTAAATTTAAAAAAATGTATTTAGTTATACTAAATATGCTCCCACAGACCTTTTGCTGTCTTTCTCCCCCTTGCCCATTCCATCTTCTCTTTCTGTTTTCATTCACGTAGCTGAAGCACAGTTATGTTGTGGCCACTATACTTGAGAGTTGGCTGTAATGTCATCTTCAGCTGTTGTCATTATATTGACAAGTTTTTAGTATTTCTTTTATTTTAAGGTTAGTGGTGACAGTTAAAATCAAACCCAGGACCTTTTCAGCACTAAGCTAGTATTCTGAGTACAATTAGCCACCACTTGACAGCAAAGGAATTTGAAATAGTTCTGTTGTCTCTATAGAGTTCAGTTTATTTATGGGATTATTCATTTGGCTTGATTTGCAGCTTGACCAGTTTATTTGCATTTAAACGGCCAGAATTATTCTATAGTGGCAATTCTTATGCAAATTGTAATGTACTGAACTTCAGGTTTTCACAGCGGTGAGTATGAAGATTTCTGTCTTCTGGGTTGTTGCGCTGTGTAGACTGGTCATCGCCCTGATGATGGAGGCAGTATGACCTCTGAAACGTTGGTTAACATCGACCAGTCTACACAGCGCAACAACCCAGAAGACAGAAATCTACTGAACTTCACTTAGTATCTTAAGTGCTTATAGCAGTTGTAATGGAATATTATGTTTGGGACAAAATCATTATTATGTTATTACTTGTGATTATAGTATCTCAATCTTTGTAGCTGCCAAGTGGGTAGCATACCAATTTCCTGCACATCCACATCACTTATCACTTGGTTCAGAGTCATTACAGAATGTTATTTTTCCTTTAAAGGAGGGACAACTGTGTGCTATGACTCAGGGGTAAGCAAACTGACTTAAATTATTGTTTTTGCTTGTGATCCTTTATCTTGCATTCTTTATATAAGCATGTTAATTTTAAAGGAAATACCTAACCTTACATTTATTTAAATCAAATTTTACAAGTTCAAAGTACATTTTCTATGTTGATTGTCGTCTTACAGGGTTCTGACAGTGTAGTCTTGAAGATGGTTATCATTGTTGCTCTGAAACATGGCATCACAACCCAGAAGTCCATAATCAACATCATTGCTGTGAGAATGTTGAATCTCAAGTACATTTTTATGATGTGACCATCATTTCTCTTCGACTATAGACACGAGTCATCTCACTGTATCTTTCTATACTATATTATACTCTACTTACTATACTGCACACCCTAATTTACTAGACATGGCAGTACACCAAAACAACTTTTCCTCAGAACATAACACGTTGAATAAAACCATCTGTGATAAACCGTTGTGTCTGTGTGTGAGTGAGTGAATCATGAATTCTGATTCTGAAGGATATTTCCTTTTCTAACTATAACATACAAATATAAAATTTATTTTAAAAATTTGTGGCTTACCTGAAACCTTGTATGGGCACATTGTTTGCAGAACACTGCTGTACTGTTTGCCAGGGTATCTGGACAAGACCTAGACTATTTTCATTTAAGAACATACCAGTGTCTGTTACTGTCATTAGTGTGTGTTCCTAGCCTACTTTTGCATTAGTGGGACCAAAACTGTGGCAGTTTAACTAAATTATGGGTTGATACGATATGTGAATTTTGTGGAGTCTTTATCATTCAATTCTACATTTAAAGCTTTCATAATCATGTTGAATGCCCGTTTCTTTCAGCATAGAACTACATGCCAAACCGCCTCAGCACTTTTATTTTTAGAATTACACCCATGATTGTTATTGCTTATTAGTTCTAGAATTATTTTCCTAATGTGTTAACAGTTAAATATATGATCCCCACTAAGATGTGTTACAGGTTCAAATATTTGGTGGACAAAATAAAGGTTCAGTATTACAATTTCTACATATATTATTCTGAATATTCCTTGAAGCTATTTTTCTATATGACCTTTGAACTTGAGGCATATAGTAATTTTCTTACTTTCCGTACTTGTTGACCCCTTTACCACTTTACTTGTCTTTGCGTTCTTGGCATAAGAAAGTAATGAACCAATTTTGAGGTCGGACTGCCCATAGAGCAGTATTCCATTTACCAGAGGATATATTATTTAAGATGTAATGTGCATCTTGACTTGAGCTCTGGCCTACAGTACACATGTGATGTATTTATACAGGATGAGTCAGAAGTATGTTTACAAACTTTGTATGCGTGTTCCAAGATCAAAAATAAGAAAAAATGTTCCTGTGAACATGGGGTCGCAAATGTTTCATTTTTGAAATAATAGCCAAAAATAATTTTCAATGTACAGTAGGGCCCCGCTTTTCGGCGCTCCGCTTTACGGCGCTCAACAGCTGAGTCAGAGAAGTGCGTCCGGCGCCATTTTCTCGTCGCTGATTCAGTCTGTTTACAGATTTTGTGCGCTCCGCGTCTCCATATTTCTGGCAATTTTTCAAAGTTATTACAAACTGTATATTTACGTAATAATAAGATTCGTTGAAGAGTCAGATGATGAAGATGCGCCATCTCCTTCATCCTTCCTACTATAAGCATATCAATTTTCAAATTTATATTCACCAATCACTATAAGCTGAGGACAATGTGTATATTACTGATATTCATTTTAATTTCATATCGTTTTCTTAGGCCTAGCACTATTGTGCACTTACTATATGATAGTGTAACATCTTATTAGGCTGTGATATGCATTTACAAGTGAAATAAGGCAAAGATCCGCTTTTCGGCGATTTTCGCTTTACGGCCGGGGTCTGGTCCCTAACCTGCCGTATAAGCGGTGCCCTACTGTATGCCTCTATTGCCAAGTATAAGGACAGGGATGTTTCTTTATAACAGATGCTCAGAGGTTGCTCCTCCATTCTCCACACGAACACGACGTACACAAGACTGACGGATTCGTTCGTACACACCAGGGTTTCCTCGAATCATCTGGCATGCATTCTGCACACATTCCTATAGGTCGTCATCATTGTTTATGGGTGTTGCATAAACGATGGACTTCCAAGTGACCCCACAGATAAAAGTCCAATGGAGTCAGGTCCGATGACTTGGTGGCCATGTTACTGGGCCACCACGCCCAATCCATCGCTGAGGGTACTGTTCACTAAGATATCAACGCGATGGGAGAAGTGTGCTGGGGCTCTGTCGTGCATAAACCACATTTGTCTTCTTGTATTCAGTTTTACATCTTCAAGGATGAGCCGGGATAGCTGAGTCAGTATAGTGACTAGCTACGGGCTGGACGACCAGGGTTCGATCCCCGACGGGTGCAGAGGATTTTTCCTCTAGCCTCTGCGTCCAGACCGGCTCTGGGGCCCACCCAGCCTCCTCTACAATGGGTACCGGGGTCCTTTCCCGGGGGTAAAGCTGGCAGGGCGTGATGCTGACCACTCACCCCCATCTAGTGCCAAGGTCAAGGAAGAGTGGAGCTATACCTCCACTCACCCAAACGCCTACATGGCGTATAGTGGGACAAACTTTACTTTACTTTTTTTTACATCTTCAAGGCAAGTGTCTTCTTAAGAATCACTGATATGAAAGTCCTCTTAGACGCGATGGAAACGTGTGGACCAATAAGCATGTCGCCAACAATTCCTGCCCAAACGTTAATTGAAAATCTTTGCTCGAAGCTGGATTCACTTTGACATAAAGTCAATTCATTGAAATTTATTTTTGGCTATTATTTCGAAAATGAAACATTTGCGACCCCATGTTCATAGGAACATTTTTCCTTATTTTTGATCCTGGAACACACACACGAAGTTTGTAAACATACTTCTGACTCATCCTGTATATTTTTTAGTATCTTTCTGTTACTGTGAGTTGGAGATGCAAGTGGGAAATTCATTCCTAATGTTGGTGTGGAAACCTGTTGGAAGACTGAAGAAATAGATCTTTGGAATTGCATGTAGGCTGTGAGGAAAGTAACCATACTGAACATGGATCCGGGAGTGCACCAAAGTTTAAGCGGTGTTGAATTTTTTAGTTCTGTTACAGAGTGACTTTGTACAGTAACATTTATTTCCATACTGAGGTCTAATATCTTATATGGATATGTGGCCAAATAAATTTGGGCTAGATTCCGTTGACTTGGGAAACTAGTCAAGATCTGATTTTGCTTCTAAATTTTAAAAAATTGTCCATTTTTTCCACTTGGAATTATAATGTAAAAAGTATTCGACTATATTTCTTTCCGCAGTAAGTAATGGCAAAAGGGTGGGGAAACTGAGTGTAGTGGTAGAAGGGACTTTCATGCACATGCATGATTTTTTGCTTCCTTGCAGCACCGCCAGATGCATCTGTCACTGCCAGATAGCGAAGTGGTGTAACATGTGTTCGTCACATTCTCGTTTTGCTCAAGACGACGGAACGCTTGGAGCAGCAATACTGCATCAAGTTTTGTCAGAAACTTGGGGATACCCAAGTGGAAACAATCCGCAAAATTCAGCAGGCTTTCGGCGATGAAGCAATGGGGGTCACTCAAATTAAAGAGTGGATCAACCGCTTTAAAGATGGGCGCATGTCGGCGGACAGTGACCAGCGTCCCGGGAGACCGTCAACGAGCCGAAATGCTGATGTCATTGACAAAGTGCAGATATTGATCATGGAGGACCGTTGTTTGACTGTCCGGGAAATTGCTGATGAGGTTGGGATCAGCAGAGGTTCCGCAAACACGCTTTTAACTGAGGATTTTGGCATGCGAAGAGCGGCGGCAAAATTTGTGTCCAAGCTGCTTTCGCCGGAGCAGCAACAATTCCACCTTGAGGTCGCGCAGGACATGCTGGAGTGCGCCAACAGGGATCCTGAGTTCCTGAAGACTGTGATCACTGGTGACGTGTCGTGGGTGTACGTATATGACCCGGAAACCAAGGTCCAGTCGTCACAATAGAAGCATCCAACATCCCTGAGGCCCAAAAAAGCATGACAGGTTCGGAGCAATGTGAAGGTGATACTGTTTTTTTCGATTACCGGGGTGTTGTGCATCATGAGTACGCACCACTAGGCCAAATTGTCAATAAGGAGTACTACCAAGAAGTCCTCCGTCATCTTCATGATGCAGTTCGGCGCAAGAGACCGGAGCTGTGGGAAGCACGCAACTGGCAGCTGCATCATGACAACGCCCCAGCTCATTCATCACACCTGATCCAGGGTTTCCTGGCCAAGCACGGCATTCCGCGGGTTCGCTAGGCTCCCAACTCTCCTGACATGGCTCCTTGTGATTTTTGGCTGTTCCCGAGAATGAAGACACCGCTAAAAGGCTCCCGTTTTGACAGCTGCGAGGACATCATACAGAATGCGACGGCGTAGCTGCACACCATTCCAAAACAAGCCTTCCAGAATTGCTTCCAGCGATGGAAGGACCGCTGGGCTAAGTGTGTGGAGTCACAAGGGGCCTACTTTGAAGGGGATTAGGTATTGTAACCCCCCAGATACAGAACTTTGTTTTCCCGGCCCAAGGTCGGATACTTTTTGGACGGACCTCGTATATAGTCTACATGTATAAGACCTGCAAGCAATGTGTGACAGTGCTTGAATGTCATGAAATCACTACAACCAACTACCAGTGTCTTTTTAACTTGGAAAAATTAATTTAAAACTGATGAGGCTTACAAATGAGATTTTATTTCCTTTTCCTTTAAATTTAAGTGTGGCTTGCTTACATGTGACAAATGTTCGCACGAACACAGCATTAAAAAAGAAACATGTCATTCCTGATCACTACCAATAAGTCTATAATATTCGTCATTATCAATTTCAATACGTAATGGTGATTTCTGTATTGGAATATGCTGCTTCATATTCTTCTTTAAGTTGAGCTTTGATCTAAGGTCTCCTCCTTCAAATCTTGAACTGTTTTTCTTTCCCTGTAACAGACAGTCTCGAAGATCAGCATAAGCAAGATCTTCATCTTGGAGATAATTTTCATCAGAATCACTACCACTCTTTTCTCGTTTCCAGTTAACTGTATCACCTGCTTGGTGTCGGTTCAATCTATCCCATACTGTTGAAGTACCAACACTCGCACCTCCCCTAGTTTTACTCTTTCCATCTCTATCTAACCTACTCCTTAGGTCATCATGACTCCTGGATATAGTATCCTTTTCAAAACCTTCAAAAGTTTTACTTTTCCACTGATTACTGTCTCTGTTTCGAGCATCTGATCTGGAGCTCTCTTGATGAACACTACTGCTTCTTAGCTTTCGTCTCCTCTCCAGATCTTCAGACCTTGTATCCTTCTCATGATGGTCTCTCAAATCTCTATTCTTCTTTATTCTTGACTGAGCCTGTACTTTAGCTTTGCGGCGTTCTATGCGAACCTCTTCCTCATCAGCATACATTCTCATACGAGGAATCTTGCTTCGTTTTGTCCATTCTGATTCCTCATCACTTTCATGCGACTTGGAAGCATCTGAATCAGACTGAAGTACTGGTGCTGTTGCTACTGTTCCAATACGATGAAGAATGGACCTGCCTTGCTGTTCATCAATACTTGGTTGTGAAGTAACAAGTGATCTTGGTGGCGGTGGCGGTGGCGGTGACTTTTTCAGCTCATATGATTCTGTTGGAGAAACAAAACAGTTTTATGAATACTTTTGTATATAATACATTCAAATTTGGGAAATGTGTTAAAAATTATATTACACAGAGCCATAATATACCCCACAGTGTAGTTTTAAACAGACTGTTAAGTATATATCAAGTTCTTTGTAAGTGTATTTATTCACTCCATTCACTATATGAAAAGCACAGCTCAATCTTCAAGCTAATTTTACCTGGTTTTCTTCTACTGTGATTTTTGTCTAGCTTGCTCCATGATTTTGCCAAGTTACCCCAGGGATTCTTTCCATCACTCAGAACTTCACTGAAGTCTCTTTCATCTCCTTTATCATCTTCAAAAACTTTAGAATTATGTTCATGCTGGTGATATCGCCGTTTTCTAGAAGATGGTGTTATTAAACCTTTGATTCCTGAAATTAAACATAAGTTAATCACATGTAATACCATTTCAGGTATCTTGTGTGTTCTTAGACCAAATGAATTCTTGTTAAATCAGACAGTGCAGATGGTACAGCTTGTCAGTTTTTGTATTCACTATTAATATATCCATGATAATGGAAATATTTACAATCAGAAAAGTACAAAGACTTGTTTACCTCCATAATTAGGGTTGCCATACTTTTTATAATATTCACTCATTTTCTCTGCTTGTGGCCGTTTCTTATCTGTCCGGGTTGAAAAACGTAACAGAATGCATTTGGCTTTTGGGTGGGCTATACCCCTCCTCCACTTTCCAGGTGGGATTGGAATTGGAATATCAGATGCATGAACTACATCACTGTCCACATTCAACTGAGATTCTTCCATGACCTGAGGAACAAAATAATGAGATCTCTAACTTCATTTTATTTATATCTCTCTATTCATAAGAGTATACTGTTGATAATACCTCCTTTACATTCTGTTCATCTGTATATACATGTCTGCTTGTTTCCATGACCATGATAATATCATCTCCATCTGGCTTCTCAATTTCTTGTACGACGACGACTTCCTCCTTTTCATTTTCTTTATCACTTTCCTTTTCCCCTTTCTTAAGAAATGGATCAGCCGTGGAATGAAATTCTTCCAAGCCTTTAACATGTTTAGAAAGTCCAATGATTGCCCTGGCTGCAGACAAATTATCAAGCCAGACCACATTACCTGAAGAATAAAGTACATATTTAGAGTGCCTCAGAAAAGAGAATTTGAATTTTACTTTACTACTGTGTTAACATAAAGTAACATACATGAGTAATCATTAATCCATTCGATGGAAGCAGGCCCATAATCTTTGAAGTAATTAAAAATGTCCTGGGTGCTCATGTTTTCTGTACCTCTCACATGCAATGTGTTCAGTCGGAAATGCTTTTCAGTACCATCTTCATCCTTCATGCCCAAACTGCAACAATTTCTTATTGTAAAACTGCACATATTCAGTTCCTAAATCTGCAATATAACTTACAAACTATTATACTACCTTTTATACAACTCAGTTACTTGCTCTTCAGTTACCGCTTTTGCATCTGAAGGGTCCAAACCAAATCTCTTTGCCCGTTCATCAAGTTTGATTTGTTCCTCCTTTGCAAAGATATCAACACCAGTCACAAACGCACCTCCTCTATTTTCATAGCGTTTCTCTCGGTCCTGCGGAAACACGTTATTTAAAACGAGACATGTTCCATTTATAAAAAATGTTTTTGAATAATATGTGAAAAAAAAATTATATACAGTACCCAGTTTGGTTCATTGGATGTTGACACTGCAAGCCCAAACACAGACGTTTTTACGTCTGTATCGGTATCTTTAGAGTCACTTAATTCGCCTTCCTCCGGGCCGTCTTCTTTAGATGTCTTGTCGTCTGTGATGTTATCATTATCGTCAATTTCCATTGCTTCATCCAAATCATTCTCTATTTCGATTTTTAAATTGGGCAACTCACTGCTTGATTCTGGAATCGCCATTTTAGACTACTAGTCGCTCTAGATACGTATTCGGTATTCCTCGGAAAGACTCGTATAATCAGTGTACCCAACGTCAATTTGAACAATTACATTTTATGTAATTACGATTTAAGACAAAACATTCGACTTTGGAGACAAATCAGACTTTGGAAAATAGGATTATGAACTTTTACTTTTCTAAACTGTATGTTTCTGAAGCTGTTTTACCATTGGATGTATGTTTCTTCTCTCTCTCTGAAAGATAGGTTATCCGCTTATGCTCCTGACACATGTTTGAAATGTGTTTATGTAAAGATGGCGACTTCAGGTGATTCGTTAAGTGTAAGTTCTGGCATTACACGTTTTTATGTTTTGTTATGGTACTTTGTTATAAATTCGCAACAGTTTGCAGTAAAGGTTGTATTTTGAAGCATCTACTTTTGGTGCACATGCTATGCTTTATGGAAAGAATGATCAAATATGTTTGAAGAGATGAGAAATGCAAAATTCTGGTTGAAGGAAGAACCACTTGGAAGACCTAAGAGTAGGTGGGAGGATAATATTAAAATAGGCATAAGGACGAGTCTGTTGTTTGGATTCACGTGACTTTGGTGAGGGACAGACGGAGCTTTTGTGAACACGAGGATCAATTGGGTTTCATAAAAGGCGTAGAATTTCTTGACTATCAAAGCTTACTATTATTGTCTCAAGGTCTCCAACAAGTTTATGATGAACTATGTCATTTTATACCACATAACCTAATAATATTATACATACTGATATCATGGTAAAAACGTACTTTAAAATACCAGGACATATCACGAACATTTCCTTAGACTCTCTGTATTTTTTTAAAGGAAACTCATCCCGGTTTTTTATGATAGATTGTCAATAGTAGCTATGAGACTTGGACACAAATATAGTTTGTAGGGTGGCTGCAAATTATTTTCATGTCTTGTGTGTTCTTGGTTCTATGGAATGCAGTAACAGTAACAGTTGTGTGACATACACCAAACTAACCTAATGTTCTTTAATCAACTAATTACATATTGTAAAATGTGGGTTATCAGCAGCCTACTCTGTACTTTGTTTGTGCCATTAAGTGAGAAGGCTGAAACATGAAATGCGGAAAAGAGTTAATTGTTCTTATGTGCTGGAGTCCTCAAAGTAATGTATTGTGAATTTAAGTACACTGTTTCATGCAGACAACATGCAAGGGCAAAGGTAGTTGATTAGAGTAGGATGAAGATTATAGTTTGCTTGTAGGTAATGAGTGTTTAAGTTGAAATATATCATTATAAATCTCCATTCTTGTAATGCAAGGGATAACTTAGTTGCTACCTAAAGAAACACATTGATCTTCATTACAAACTCATGTTGGTATTAGGTGTGTCTGATTATAATATTTTTGTAGCAAATGTGTACTGACTTTAAGACAGGTGGAACACATTGTTTCCATTACTCTAAGGAATTTAAGCATATATATCCCTCTATATTCATAGCCTTGTTCTTCAGGACATGTTCTTTAAGTTGGCCAAAATTGTTATTGCCCCTCCCACATAATATTGCATTGCATGTTCATTTTTGGTCCCACAATTCTGGTTATAGTCAGGTTTTGTTTGACTTTGTTTTTGTGTGTTGGTTTAGATGGCATTAGCATAGTATAGTAATGGTATAATTAAATAGGCCTTGCCCCTTCTAATGTAGTGAAAATTAATTGACAAAGGGTGGAGAGGACTGAAATCATATTTTGTACATTTACATTTATCAGGATAGTACTGGTGGCAATGCATTGTAAGTAACAAGGATACAGTACAGTATTATTTACAGTATTGTGTTATATGCTTGAGTATTATTTGCTAAACTGAAAATCTGCAATCTGTTACAAATGCAATTTTTTGTTTAAAACATTTTATTCTGCATTGCATTTTTGTTTTCAGACTAATATGATCTCTCTCAAATTATATATAACATATATGAGACTTGTATAAATACTGTACATTTTCTGTTGATTTTTGGTCAGTCTGGTAATGCAGTTGGGTTATTGTTTTCAGGTTAGGCTCAATAATGCTCTTAATCTTCCACTGCAGTACCGTTGTGATGAGCTTGCCAACATTTTTGAGGAATTTGGTAATAAGGAGCTTCAGATGATACTTCCTCAGCTGTTGGAAAGCCTTTTTGGACTTACAGATCAAATGGGGTGGGGTTTGAGGACAATATACCACAACATGCAGCCATGTGAATTTGATATTCTCTTCAGATTCCTGCACCCTCATGGTGCTATGTTTAGACTCTGCTATAAACTGCTTACAGATTTTTATGCAAAGTATGAATTTCCATTAACATACCTGCCGGTAGGTAACTGCCTTTTCTTTGTTTGATAAGAAAATTGAAGTTATTTTTAATTTTTTATATTAGCATTATGTGAAGGCTTGTTCATTCATTACTGATGAACCCAAAGGATTTGTTACTTTGTAGTCATATTTATCCAATCCTGACAAAGTACTTTGTTTGAATGTTGTAAGGATGGTGTCATAAAATACTCTTTGACTTAAACATGGGAGATATTTACAAAGAAAAGGTCATGCAAATAGATTTATGATTTATTTTTATGTATCAAGTTCTACTTCCGCATCCATTTATGCTAAGGTTAAAATATACCAGACACCTCCCTCTGTGTTAACATGTTCATGGAAAGACAGTGAGTGTATTTCTGGAATCCTGAATGCTTTTATAACAACCGTCAGGCCACCTTTTTTCAGGCTAGTGAAAACTTTAAAACATGGCCAGTATCCAAATGCATTTTACTTTTACATACTGCATATGTAAATTGTAAGGAACAGAAAATGGAAAATAGAAATATTCTTGATTTTAATATAATGCACATGCACTTTTATAGTTAAGGTAGTCTCTACTTAAATAGATAAGCTACTTAAGATGCAGTTCATTATGTGGTGAAGTAAGTAATAGAAAATATGCATACAATTTTGCAGTCATATCTGTTAGTTTCAAACAAAAAAGAACCACTTGAAGATGACCAATTATGGTTGAAACATGTGGTTGTTCTTAATAAACATTGAATCTTTAATCAAAAATTGTTGTGTAACAACTAACAATTAGCACACAAGATTATGCATCCCATAAAAAATAGTAAATGCCTAGTTGTTAGCATACAGACTTCATAGTCAAAGAATTCTGTATTTACTTCTGAGAATTCTTCTAATTTAAAATAACAAGTAAGGAACTATATCTGAGTGTAATGATGCCCAGTCCTCTTCAGACAGAAAAGTAGTGAACTCACAAAATGTCACGTATAGCAGATATATCTTTGATAATGACAATGTATAAAATAATTGTGATGTAAATTAATACTTAATCGCCAAGATAACATGACTCTTAATTAGAATGTATTTACGATTGTTGTAATGGCATGTAATAGACAATACAGCAACATAAATTTGA